TAAACATATCCAGAGAGGCAGAAGTTTCTACAAGATAAACAATTCCCTACTAAAAACTCCAGAGCTAAGAAAGGCCATACTACAGGTATGCTTGGAGCACGACAGCGACTCACAGTCGTTCCCTGAATTAATCAATGCACTAACACAAGCATCGTCAGCAGTGGCCAGACAGTTAGCAGCCAGAAGGAAAGCTAGGGAACAGGAACTTCGGCAAGCCCTACGTATAGCAGAAACGAACCTAATCAGCAACCCGGGCACGGAATTATATGAAACCACAATAGAGGAGGCAAGAAGGGAGTTAGGGGACTGGGAACAGTGGAGGGCTAGGGGTATGCAGTTGAGAGCAAGAGTAAAAGAGTGGGAAGAGGGAGAACGAATGACAAAGTACTTCTTTCAAAAGATTAAAACAAGAGGTAGGAATTCGCTAATAGAGCAGCTGGAAGGCTCTCAGGGAGTAGTGTCAGATCCTGAAGGGTTGTTGTCAGTAGCCAGTAGCTTCTACACCTCACTCTATAGGTCTAGAGAAGGGGACCAGGATCCAAGACAGGTAAAGGAAGTTCRGAAYAAATTCCTAGCCTACCTGGACCGCACGGTGAATGGGGTCCAGGCAGAGATGCTAGACGCCCCGCTTTCGCAAGAAGAGCTGAGAGTGGCTTTAGATACAATGCCTCCAAACAAAACATCGGGCAGGGATGGACTAACAAGGGAATTCTGGCAGGAATACTGGGAAATCTTGGGAGGTGAATACGAAACCTTCTTGAATCAGGCATGGATCAACGAAGGCATGCGAATGGAGTCTTCAACAGGGGTAGTCACCTTATTGTATAAGAAGGGAAACCCTAGGGACATTAAAAACTACAGACCGATTACACTCCTAACACTAACACACAAGATAGTGGCCAAAGCATTAGCGAACCGATTGAGGAGGCTAACGGCCAACTGCTTCCACTTGGATCAAACAGGCTTTATCCCAGGGAGATTCATACTGGACAACGTGATGACTTTATCGGAATCGGTGAGATTCATAGCGAACAAAAGAATGAACGCAGCCATCCTCTTCTTTGATTTCGAAAAAGCATACGACCAGGTCAGCTGGCCTTTTCTTCAACAATGTATGGAAAAAATGGGAGTAGGGCCCAACTTTCGCAAGTGGGTGAGAGTATTATACAACGATTCACATGGCCAGGTACAAGTCAACGGATATCTTTCAGACACATACAAAATGACTAGATCGGTGAGGCAAGGTGACCCATTAGCCGCCCCTATCTTCCTCTTTATCATGGAAGCCATAGCTTCATTCCTTAGGAAAGACCCTTCAATGGACCGTTTGATAGCAGAACCGGACCAGCAGGGGCGTATAATAGAATTACCCACCACGATACTATTCGCATACGATCTCACAGTACTCATCAGGGCCACGAATTCCTCTTTTCAGGCACTCACAAAAGCGATGGAAGCATTCCAGTTGGCATCGGAAATGAGAATTAACTGGCCCAAAACGATAGGATGGTGGCTTACATACGACCAGCAGCACCAACAGCCCCAGCCCCCTGACCATGGGGGAATGGAGTGGCTGCCCCCACACCAACCGTTGAGGTATCTGGGGATTAGGCTAGCGGACGAGGGCCCACATCACTCCATGGCCCCTGATCAAATGACCAAAATGTTAGCAAAGCTGAACGCATGGTCTACCATTTATACCTCCCTGTACGGGAGAGCCTTGGTCCTCAATGCCTCCATCTTCTCCATGCTATGGTATGCGGGCACCCTGTGGTCACCCCCAGGTTCAACACTTCGAAGGCTCCGAAGGGTTGCAGCAGCCTATCTRTGGACAGGGAACCCGACCAAGGATAACTTCATCTCTAAGGTAGCCTGGAAACAAGTAACACAAACAAAGAATCGGGGGGGACTGGGTATCTTGGATCCAGAACAGCAGATTAAGGCACTCCAATCAAAATGGATTATCAAGCTGGTAACACAACCCCACTTGCGCTGGGTTCCCCTAGTATTAGAGCACATACGAGGGTTTTCAAAGTTCTCAACTCCTCTAAATATGAAGGGCACCTCCTGGATATTTTGCAAAGGGTGGGCAACAAGGGGTAGGCCAAGGGAGCGGGGGGGTGAGGAGGGAACTTCCTCCCCATCATACTGGGCACAGATTCTTAGGATATGGGAAGAGATATTCCCGGCTAGAGTACGGAAACCTAGATCCAAGGAGGAAGTCCTCAGGCAACCCTTGTTCTGTAACCCCTGGTTACAGGATGCCCAAGGGAAACCGAGAACACTAACAGCTAAGGACACCAGATGGGGGAATTGGTTGGAACACGCGGTCTGGCAGATCAAGCACTTATGGTCCCAGAATGACAATAGATGGAAGACAGGGAGGGAACTGAGAGCCACGATGAAAGGTTGTCATAAGCTTACAGAGAATGTAAACAATGTTCTAATCTCCATTCCGCAAGAATGGACGCAGTTGTTGAGAGGACCGTGCAAGTGGGAATGGGGGGATTGGGCGACCTTGCATACAAATGCAGTTCCAGAGCAGGTATTCCGGGTGCAGCAGGAAGTGGGCCCCGATAAACAGTGGCTTGATGTAGAGATGTTCGTAATTCGTAATCCGGGAATCACAGTGAGTCACCTGGATAAGGAATCCAAGATAACAATCACAATTAAGAAGTGCCTGCTCAGGAAGATCAGGGTGGTAGAGGATGACGAATTTACAGTCTTTGCACCCACGGTGGCCATAGAAGATTTGGAGTACGACCCGGCCGAATGGGCATGGAATATTAGGGGTGGAGAGACACGAGTGAAAACAAAGATTAACATTCTCCGCTATACAACGAGACTAGGTTATAGGCTGAGGAGAAGATCGACCCATCTGGACCTTCCCCTAGCCTTAAGATGGGAAAAGAGGGAGGGGTTACCAGGAGACCAGGTGGGGAAGTTGCCCTGGTCGTCCCTTCACAGTATAAGATTGGGTAAGGTCAGAAGTCTACAATGGCTCATCCTCCACGTGGCCCTCCCAGTCAACTCTTGGTTGTATGAAAGAAGAAGCAGGCAAGTTAGGACAGAGGAGGAACGAAACTGTACCCTATGTACGGAGGGGGCTCTGGAAACGATGGTCCACTGCTTAATCTCATGCCCGGAGGCAGAGAAGGTGTGGGCGTTAGCTCGCGCACTATGGTCCCGGGTCACGGAAGTTCCCTTCCCTCCGATCAGAGACAGACTCCTAATCAATATGGAAGCGCCCAGAGACTGGAATTCCTGCCAAAAATACATTTTCAGGCTACTGAGGCTCTACGCACTACGGACAGTATGGAAAAGAAGATGTCAAAGGGTGGTAGGAGGGAATCATATGACTATAATAGAAGCCAGAGGAATAATGTACAACCTGCTGGAAACAAAAATCAGGGCACAATGGCAGAGAGCAAAGAAACAAGCAGAGAGACAGGAAGATTTAAATCCAGATAAGGCTAAGGAAATAATTAACAAGTTTTGGACAAAGGTTCTAGCAGGGGGAAAGGTGGCCTCATTGGAAGGGAAAGCCTTGCGCTTCCATTGGTTTAAGGACGATCTCCAGGACTCGCCCTATGAGGACGAGAATGGAGAACAG